GTTTAGAGTTCTTTTTGAATGTCATAAAACCTTAACCAAACTAATATAAATACTGATTAGAGCAGAGGAAAAATTTTAACCCTTTCACGCCCCTGTGGTAATTCTCCATGCTGTGAGGCCAAAACAGGTAAACTGTCTGAAGTAACGGAATACACAAGGTAGCGAGGTGCAACTGGTTTTCGTTTTGAATTTGATCAGTGAAGATTTTGCACCCGTTGTATGAGCCAATCAATCCAGGGTTACCTTTGACATTCAATTGATTGTTACATTGTTTATTTGAAGTAATCAGTATTGTTTATACTGCTAACTTGTCTTTGACAGGAAGGAATACCTTTCAGTAGCTATAGGAGTATTTTTGGAAGAAATGACAGACAATTTTTTTAAAAAAATTGGTGGGCAAAGGTACAAATTATTATTATTATTTTTTTTTACATAGTTTCATTATCATCCAGAATTACGTTGTATAAGAAATTCTATGGACATTTTCCAATCCTAAAGGCTTGAAATGCTTTTTAAGCCAGTGATACATATAGCACCTGAGAGAGAATGTCAAACTTTTGAGTTTTGTAGAATATAATAAATTACATAATTTAGTATTATCAATTGGGTTGATAATGTCAGTTGGCCACTGTAAAGAGATTTAAAGCAGACGTTTCGAGCGTTAGCCCTTCGTCAGCGAATGGCAAAGGACTAACGCTCGAAACGTCAGCTTTAAAACTCTTTACGGTGGCCAATTTATGGTATCAACCCAGTTGATAATGCTAAATTACCCAGTTCTACTCTCCCACCTACCCAGCATCACAGTTTCTTTAGAAACTTACCCCCTTTATAGTAAATTGGAGTTTTTTCGTTGCAATCAGTGCCAGTGTTTGTCGAGCCTTCCGAAGTGAGAGGAAACTCCTCGTATGGACTGATTACTGTTCCTGTGTTTTTGCGGTTTCCCCACCTTAAATTTTCACTGAAGTCTCAACCTCATGGGTATGCACGCGCAGCTGCAATCCGATTGCTTTAAAACTAATAAAATGTTGTCCTATCGTGAATCAAATTTAAAGAAGACTTTCATCGCAGTGGGCGTAAGATTTAAAGATTGGGTGATGTCACTTGAGGAGTATCACTGGGCATGTTCAGTCATGTGACGCGTCGAAACCAATCGCACCCAAGTGATAATGCCCTTTACTTTGTCTAAGCAAGGGTAGTCTTTCTGATCATTGGACAGAATTCACTTCGCGTTCGGCGAAAAATTGAGAAATATGCTATCCTTTCTTTTTGATAAGAGAGCACCTCCTTATATTTTGGCGTGATATGTTTAGGTAATGACTAGAAATAATGTTTTTCTTCTTGATCCTTCAGTTCGTACAAGATGATGTTGTATTCAGTTCACGATACATCTGTAGCAGCGCTTTTGTTAGCACTTGGTATCTTTGACAACAAATGGCCTGACTTCGCCGCGGATCTGACTTTTGAGCTATACAGAGATAAGGTAATGTCATGTCACTTGTAAAGTCAGTTCAGAAGCTATAGCATTTTGTCGCGTAACATGTGGTAGCTACCGGCAGCATACAAACGACTTATTCATGACATTAATCTAACAAACGACCGGAACAGAACGACCTAACCTTCTCAACGTACTTAAAGTCAGCAGTCTCGTATGGTATTTGAGTCCTACATCCATGAGCATCTTAGAAAAACTGACCAATCAGTTTCACAAGCCAAATTTAAAATACTGGACAGACAGACAGTTTCTTACTTGACTTTGACAATGACCTCCACCCAGTTTATCGAAATGTCAGTAACTGTCACCTACAATAGTCCTTTCCAGGAAGTTTCTCACTTCGACGATCCGAAAAGAAGTTCTACATGGTTTTACTAACAAATTCCCTCCCCCTTTCCCCACCCGCCCAATAGAAAACAAAATATAAATCACCCACGTTGATTTTTAACGGTATAGCTGGTATATGAAGAAAAGAAATGTTAGCGGCTCGTTTGTTCTTATGATTTTTCTTCACTTCTTTTTTTCAGGATAACTCTTACTTTGTGCGAGTGTTATATCAAGGAGAGGTGATTTCTAGTTAAGATTTATCAAAATTATTTTGGGTTTTGTATGGTGTATAGATTTTTTTCCCCTTTCCCAATAGCAAAGAAACCTCAGCAGCAAATACAGAAACATCAGGAAAAGAAAATCGCAAATTCCAGTTCCCACTAGCCAAGCATAACGGAATCGATCACTCCGTAACTTGTTCGTTAAGAACGTCAGTACCAAGCATGCTACAGAAAGGGAAGCTTAACACCTCGTCAGGAGAATACCGTACTTTCACCAACCCTAATGTCCGTGTCAGTAAAGTTTCCTCTTAAAATACAATCTGCAAAACTGAAAATTTTTTGGAATTATTAACACGTGCATGTGTGAGTTATCTTGAAAGACGTTCGAATTTAGGTGATAATCGTTGTGTGCACAAAAATAACTTACGAGGTGTGTCTTCGTCATCAGTTCGTTAATTGTTTTTTGTTTTGCATCAGAATTTATGTAGTGAAAGTCTACAGGCTAGGCTGCAAAACACGTTGGAGAATACGTTGATTTGGCGCTGAGTGTATAATTTCTAGGAAATTCGTCGCCCTCTTATTAGTGGGAATGTGGTTGATCACTTTGAAGGTTGCTACTTGCAAGCGACTGGGATATGGCACATCGTTTCTTTTTTCAGCAAGAATGATTTTTTCAAACTCTAAAGTTTTCTTTCTCTCAACTTTTTAAAGGAAAAAACTCTTCCTGGATGTTCTAGTCCACTCTGTCCTATGGAAAAGTAAGCAATAGATTATGAATGTATGCAATTAATTAACGAATGTTAAGACTTGAATTTAACACACGGAGTAGTTTACACCTCCCAGATAGAAACTGTCGGAGGATGTATTCGATTTATTAACGAATGTTAAGCCTTGAATTTAATACAGAGGGTAGTTTACACCTCCCAGATAGAAACTGTCGGACGGTGTATCCAATTTATTAACGAGTGTTAAGCCTTGAATTGAATACAGAGAGTAGTGTACACTTCCCAGATGGAAACTGTCTACCGATGTATTCAATTTATTAACGAATGTTAAGGCTTGAATTCAATACAGAGAGTAGTTTACACCTCCTAGATAGAAACTGTCTGGCGATGGTATTTTAATCTATTACGAAGTTTGTAGACATTTGCATCCAAATGACGTGAAGGGAGATGGACTTCTACCTTTCAACTTAGTCAAGTCAAATTCGAAGAGTATTCCAATCGAGTACTTTTTGGTCTCGTTCTGATGAAAGTCTGGCAATTTCCAAAACTGTTGCCTGTTGCAACTTGTATCCCTCTTTTTACATGCCGCAAGATTTTTTTGGAGATAAGACAACACCAATTTTTTTTGTCTGTGCTGTCAACATGTCACAATGTGAAATTTTAATTAAATCTTCGAGGTAGACTTTATAGAGAAAATACGATATTGTTTTGCCTTTGAAAACTTCGCTTTCAAAGAATTCCTAATACGATTAGTCAGGTTCAAAGGACACCGCCATAAAAAAAGAGAAAACAAGAATGCGCTTAGCTTGGGAAAGTAAATAGTGAAAGATATCTAATTTAAAAACATTTTACTGACTCCTTCATCTTTAGATTGAAACCCGAACAATGGTTTCCACTGAAATCTTCCATCAATCATCAAATTCCGATTACGAGGATTAAGTTGAAGAGTATGTTGTAACCGAACATTTTCTCTCATTCTTTATTTACCTTAGATTCAAAGAGCTGGTTTCTAAATACTTCATAGACAGTTGGGAGGAAAAGTGTCAAGAAGTGAATGGAAACTAATCAATTTCCCGACCTGAAATGAATTGTCTGATTGCGGGAGCATCGTAAAACTCCATGAACGATCGCGGCGAATGTTTATCAATGATCGAAGATGAGTCATGTATATGCCGGGCTGCTGAAACAGTTACTCGTGAAACTAACTTATCAAGAAAAAAGGAAACCATTTCTGGGCGCAAAAATTGCAGGGTGGACGAAGCCACCCAACGACGTATTTAATAGCGTGCGTGCGTATCATGAAAGGATTAAGACACTGCATTCAAAAGAAAGGAAAGTGTTTTTTTCAGCGCATTTTGAATCGTCTGGTTTCGAGTAATTAAGGAATGTGTGATTGAGTATTTTGATATGTCAAAGAGACCGTAGAAGAATAAGATGATAAATGATCGAGTGGAACTTAACAATAAAATTCGTTCTCAAAACGTTAAGGCTGTGTCGTGAGAGTACAACGGGTCTTCATTGTGAGTCTTGAGCCAATTTATACCTTAATTTAGGCACAATTGAGTCAGTAAAAACCTGAAACTCAAATATTCAAGAAGTTTCATTACTTATGAATGACCACTATTCACGGAGAACGAATTATATTTGTCAGGGTTAGTAACCCCACTGAGTTCGGATCAAGTAGTCGCTGTCTGGAGGGTTTAATTGTTGTTGCTTCCTAAGCCATAGAAAACTCAGTAAACACTTGTTCGCCGCTTACAATGGCAGCGCGCACGAAAAAAGTTGCATAGTATCCCTCGTGTACTTTCGAGATCAATTGGACGGTGTTTCTTGAAGTGCCTTAAAATTCTTGTCAATCAGAAATGAATTAACGGAACCCTCAGTTATTTCATTGTTAGAGCAGTTATCGATTACAGTCATACTCCAATATGTTATAACTCTCTTTTTACTTTGCCCGAGGCATTGAATCTTAAGTCGGATCAGAAGGGAGCTGCGTATGATTGTCAATTCTTATGGCCCATGTTTTCGATTGTTGTAAACAATCTGACCATAAGTGAAAATTTCATTGGCTATTTTAAGAATGACTACTTTTAAAAAACTTTTGTAAGGAAAGTATCTCGATTCAATTTTTAATTAGAAAGAGTAGTGACTCAGCGATGTGCCGCATTTTTTCTCAGTTGCCGATCGATATCAGATTGTCTTTTCTTGTTATTATAAATCATCAGCAGAAAGAGAACTTAGGGAAACCTATAAAACTGTAACCCGAAGGCAGGCTCTTCGACACCCGAAAACCACTACACCACACACACGGAACTATGAACAACGTTGCCTGGCCGATTCTGTTCCACTGATTTTTCGCAAGACTTGATTTTAGTAAATTGCAGGTTCTAAAAGGAACTTAAACTGAACGAGGATAAATAAGTTAAAAATTTAGGCGATACGTGATCGCTTCACTGGGTCAAATGTCTCTTCTGTTCAGCTTCAGTTTGTTTATTCCATCAATTCGTTCGAAACAATCTTGAAATACAGGAAAAGAGCGAAGTAACCTCGACAATTTGAAAATGACGGTGTGAAAGAAAATTAGGTAGACCTTGGTTTGTGAATTTGAGAATGGAAAGAAGCCGTGGCTTAAGCCTCTTAAGACAATGAGTCAGATTAGAGCTTGGCGGCATTTCCTCGCATTGGGCACGAACCTCAGAAACGGCTACCATGAAATACGTTCCTATAACATGTGTGAAACTACATTTCAGAGGTAATCTTTAAAAACTACCATGACGCCAAGTGGAAAGAAACATTGCGTGAGAAAGACTTCCTTAAACTCAGTTGGTGGCCTCGAACAGTCGTGCTGAGTTGTAAGGAAGACCATGCTTGGTTGTCTCGAGGCGGTTCTGCTAGAACCCGCAGCCTCCACGGTACTTATGCGCATGCGTTTATTTTCTGAGCGCAGTCGGCAGGAGTCACGAAATTCAATTTCTACAAAGGCCCAAAACTTCCACCTGCTGTTTTTTTGGCGTGGTTGTTTGTTCAAATTAGAGTACAGAAATAATAGCAAGCGTTTTTATGTCAGCTACTAGCCCCATGTTTTGTCTTGAAAAAGAAAAGCCACTCGGAATTGAGTAAGTTTCGTTTCTCATAGGGAGGTCTGAAATAGCAGGGGACTATCGTTATCAGACAATCTTGAATTCATCCCTTTATTAAGGTTCAGTGGAGTTTTGGCTAACAGAAAATTCAATCGATTTTTTAAGTGATTTTATTCCTGTTTTGTAACATCGACAGGCTGGAAGACATCTGTATCAATTTTTTTCCATTTGGATCTTACATAGGTCAAAAAAGGGACGATTTTCAGCTCTTCATTACTTTTTAATCTTTTCAGTCCTGCTTCATGACCCTCTTCAGCACCGACATTGTTCATCTTTTTTCAAGACAAAAATGGTGCATCAGCGTATTTTCAACAAGCCTTCATTCACAAAGAAATTGTTTTAATATTGGTAAACACGGCCAGGATGTGGGGAATATAATTAGCACGCAATGAAAAAAAAATCGAAATGCACCTCATGCTGATTTCATGTGCACGAAAGTATAAATATGTCGGATTTTAACCACAAAATGTCTGCCTTTGTGCCAATTTTTTGCTGCATCATCGCAATTTTTTTCCTTTTTTGATTCATGACACGATCATAATGAATTCATAAACCGCAAAGGAAAAGAAAAGGGAGAACGAAATAACAGCGTCATGAATAGATAATGAATTATTTATCGTCGTTTCTTTGTTCAGTAGTGTTTAGTCTGGCGCTGTTGGTCGTCAATAAAATAAATACTTCTTGAAAGAGCGGTCACACGAAAGTCAAAAATGTTCTCTTTTACCCTCAAGGGAATATTCCTTGACATGAAAATATTGCCTAATACAGCAGTAAACACCACGGGCGACGATTAGAATTTCAATCTTTATAAAATGCCTAAGGACTAAGACGTTGGTTCTCTTTGATGTTGACTGGAACTAAACCGCAAAACCTTCCCAGCTAGGGTAGGGCTGGGCCTTTTTTAAGACCCCTTGTTCCCTTTTGACACTTAAACATGAAATTTAGTGATTTGAACCACGGAGTTAGTATTTTCTGAAAATACTCGGTGAAGAAGTAAATGAAGTGAAAGAAATTCCTGAGTGGAATTTAAAAAAAAAAATATCAAAAGGAACGCAATAAGTCACCCTCCCCTCCCTTGTAACGATCAGCTCGCATACCAGACGGAACATCAGAATGAGGCTTCCGGCCAATCGTCTGGGACAAAGATGATATGAAGGCAGTCTGAGTTTTGAACATTTCTCGCCGGAGGCACGATCGAATTAGGTTAATGTATTTGGTTCGTGCTATGTTTCACCAAAAGCGACCTAGTCGCATCGAAACTTTCAATTTCACAAGATGAACACACAAGATACACGAAGTCAACAGATGTTCAAAATTCGTCGAACTACTCTTGGATTTGGTGTTGTTCAAATCCTCTTAGGCGTCTCATTAACTGCGTTGTCTTTCGCAGCTTTCGCCTTCACTTCTTCGGATAGAATACGTAACGCTTGTCCTTACTGGGCTGGATTCGCGGTAAAATCCTCTTGCCTTGCATGAGTTAAAATCTGTGACCATTGATTGTAGCGGTGAGATGTTGGCGTGATTTCCATTGACAAACTTGACGCTTCTGTGTTTCTTTAATAGGTTTTTTGGAGCGGTGGTGTAGGTATAATTGCTTGGAAGCATTCGTCTGTGATGTCGGTGAGTCCATTGAATGTATATTTTCCACCCTCAATTCTAAAATGAAGCCTACGAGTATATTCTCTCTATCGTTTGAAAGGCACTTCTTCATTCATGTAGCTTTCGTGTCGGTGGTATCCAGAGCTAAATCTGTAGGATTGAAAATAATTTCCTGTGTGTCGGTTTATTTATACACACAACTAGACCTCCTTTACAAACTGTGCTAGAGTTGCATTATTTTTTTTCTTATCAAGATCACCCTATTTTTTTACCGAACAATATTTTCCTTGGGTTTAAACATTAGGTGAAAAAATTTGGGCTAATAAAATGTCGACAAAAAATTAATGCTTGAACTCATGTGATGTTTGCCCAGACTACACGAAAGGGGGATGAATGACATCTCCTTTGCTATTGATTGAATGTACTTTACTCAAGAAGCACAACTGAAACTGAAATATGGGATGTTCCTTCTCACTACACGGTATTTCGTAATCTACAAGTCGAATTCATTCTTAAGAAATGATCAGACAGTTATTAGGCGTGTTGTCAGTAGTCTCGAGATGTGATATATCAAGTGACAATTTTTAGTCCAACAAAAATCCTCCAAATTTTTATTCGTTTCAAAGCTTTGGAGTTGCACAGTATTTCAATATATTCAATCCCTGCTCTGTCAATGAATTTTGACGCAAATTATGGTACTATGGGTTTTTGAGAACGTGAAATGAAACCAAAATATATCCTTCTTTGAACTGTTACTGTCTATACAATATGCAAAAATTCCTCAAACCAGACTGTATACACACTGAACATTAGCCTGGGTTGCAGCTGTATTTTAAATTAAGTCTTGTTGTGTTTTTCTTTTATGTAAATTTTAATTAAAAAGGTTACTGTTTACCTTCCAAGATCTGCCACTCAAATATCATTTAATACCCTCCCAAATTTTGCAGATCATGAATGCAGGGAAATAGTGTTATAAATCCCTGTATTGACAGACACTTGATGTTGACACTGTTAGTTTTTAGGGGGTTCAATGTGTTGTTCGAGATGGCATGTATGAAAAACTAAAGGCTTCTAAATCAGGGGTAGATTATTTAGTCAAAGACGTATCTCATTTCACTACAGTTACTTTTGAGGTAGTTTATGGAAATCAAAATCAGGACAAAGTTACAGCTTAAGAACTAACTCAGAGATAATGAGTAGTTGTTGTCCTATACTATAATGCAGTAGCAGGATCAGAGATAAATTCTTTCTTTTAGTCATTTACGAGTGGTGTTACTAATTGTAATTTCATGACGACCAGCTACCAGATTGCCTATCAAAGTTCAGTAAGTTACAGCCAACAATTAACTCTTCCAATACCTGGAGCCTATTTTATTTTCATGAGAGGTCTGAGCAGTTTCTATTTCTTTGGAAGGTTCGATACATTAGTAGTCAACTGTATAACTTCTTTATCAAGAAATTTATTTTTTTATTAAGGTGCGAAGGAAGTCAAACACTGTGGCTTCAGAAGTATTCAATAGTTTTAGTTTTGTTTTAGATTTGACATGCAAGTCATGTTTTATGTTCATGTTGTTTGAAAGAATAATCTGTGTGAAGATTCTCAAGTAATTAGAGAGACATTTGCATTAAAATGATACTTTTATAAGGGGTTGGAGAACTGAATCTGAGAGAGACCCCTTGGAAGTGAGAAAGTTATCAGTAGCTGAAGATTGCAGTGTACATGAATATAGTCCTGGTGGGCGAGGAATAAAAGGCATAAGTGATAGATAATTTCTTAACATAAGAGCACGCTCAGCAAACAAGAATATTGAAATTGAGCCGGGTCTAAATGACAACAAATGAAACACGGAAATATTGGGCTTTAATTTATGCAGTAGTGTAAAATTATTGAAACAAACATTGATACATAATTGATTATTAAAACAAGAATCAAAGGCTAATGTGAAGATGTTTTTGGGGTCTACCTACGGAAACTTAAAACAAAGGAAGTGTCTGAGCCATAATCCTTGAAAGTGTCTGCAGCTGCTTATGGAAAAGTATAAATATGGAGTCTGTATAGATTTAAGTTGAGTTTTGTTGAGGTGGTCATCACAAGAGAAGTATGCTAACAAGAGTGTCTTAAAACAGCATATGCTATAAACAGAAGTCTTAGATGAAATGTGTTATCCAGCGGAGACTGGATCACATTCAGTTTTTTTTCCTTTTCATTCAGCCTCTTTAATGCATTACTGATATGTTATTTAACCTTATTGTCAGACTGTCTTGTGGTTAAGCAAGTTATTACTCGATTTAAGACCGAGTCTGATTAACAGAGTCCTACTTTAAAGATGTGTAGCAAATTGCCAAACATCTAATTATAATTTAATTGTGCGCTTTGTGTAGAGTACTGACTCCATTATTACTCAATCTTCTCAAGAAATGGTAGCTTGTTTTATCATTTTTAATGTCTACTCTTCCAATAAAGTGCAATATGTGGCCAGTTGAAAACTAGCTTGACCTTGTTACGTATTTTGAATGGATTAATGTCTGATCCCAAGTGATGCACACGCAAATGTTTTGTTGTTTGTCAGTCAATATCAATAGTGGACAAGTAAAGGCATTATATACTCGTTAATTTTTAAATGCTTGATTATAAACTCTTAAATCTCTCACTCTATGACATACAGACTTCTGCGTGCATCTGGTGAGTTAGTGAGATAAACAGCAGACAATGCCTTAAACTTATGTAAAATTGATAACAAATACCAGACACTTCACCCCATGACCCTTAAGTGTTTTACATACCTTTGAATAATCATATTGCTATTGTTTTCTGGGTTTCTATATTGTGGCAAAACGTTTTCAGACAAGCTGAGACAGTTTGAGAACCATGTGGTCTGTGCGCTGCTTGAGTTGTGATGCTGACAGATGAAAATTGTTTGATACATGCACTATATTGAATGAAAAAGTTTGTATACTCAGCTTTAAATCCAATTCCTTAATGGTTACAGGTGTTTAGATGGTCTTTTTTCCAAGAATTCATGGTCTTAGTTTGTTCAGTGGAATGGGATGCACTATTCCGTAAAGAAAGCGGTTGTCAAAAAGTGTTTTTTAAGTTCTCCTTCCATGAATTATGAATGATTTGAATATTAGACGGCTGTGGAACAATCTGGAAAAGCCTATACTCCATAAATTCAATGAGACAAATCATTTGCTTGGTCACTTTAAGTTGTAATACTTCTTATTGATGCAAATTGCAATTAAGAGACACAATATTCATAGAAAGCATGATTTAGACACTTAAACTGATGATTGATGGGCTGTTTTAAAACCAGAAACACATTAAAGGTTGATGACATATACTTGTGTTTTGCTGACAAGAACGTGCAAAAAAACATAAATGTAACTTAATCTTAGCCTATACAATTTATGGTTGAGAAAATAAAACTTTCAAAACTATTTTCCTTAAAATGATGGGTAATCATCACCAATTAGTCAAACCTAACTCTTCGCAGCTAGACATTTCTTCAATGCCTTTGAGTAATTTATGTTGAGGTCAGGTTTTTCTCGCAAGGTATCACAAAAACATTTTCAGGTGAAAGATGAAACTGATTTTCAACCGAGTTTTAAATGGCTGATAGAAAACTAGACAGGATATTGCAAGAAAGAAATGCTTACCTTAATTAGACAGAAGTGCCATTGAATGGCATCTTCATAACAAGCCCATTCGAATTCCTCCTGCTCCCTATTTTTCTTAGCAAATTGAGGCTTGCACTATACCATTGGTACCTTATGATTTCATTTAGGAAAAATCCTAGTATTTCAGCCCCTATAGGCCACAAATACAGGGCACATTTTGTCTGCAACAAAGACAGTCCAATGTCCAGCATTTGACCACCTGCCCCTTGTCTTTGCTGTCACAGATTTCATCAATGAACTCAGTGCAAATCTTAGTGAAGCAGTTCAAATGTTTTCTATGCAGACAATTGGTGGAAAGTTTTGACAAAATCGCTTCAATTGACCCTACAAGCCATTTTTTGGTGCTTACGTTGTCAAAGATGTGCTGTCTTTGACAACTTTTACGCATGTCTTGTTTGGTGTTTCTTGAGCCAGTGGTCTTTTCATGCATGAATTAAGCTATCAATCACATTTTTTTTAGTGGTTTCCTTTTGGAAATTTTTTTGAGTTTGCATACTAATTATAAAATTAATGAATAAAATTTATTTTAACATCTGGTTCAGTGCCATTTTACAACAACAGTGGACTTTGCAAACAAATATTATTATAATTGTTATCAGCTAGGACAAATGTTATCACAATTATAACACAAGTATTAAATTGTAGTTTTAGAGAGCTGTTGGTCTACACTCTTTTTTTGATGCCAAGTTTTATGCATGATTTGCAATACCAAGTGTACATGTGCTTGATGAAACTAACCATGATGTCATGAAAGTTATTGGTAATCTTAACTTTGACAGGTTTTTCAGGGATGTTTTGTATTAGGTTTTTTGTTATATTTTAAATCTATATATGTTTACCTGTAGCTAAATCTAAAAATGTTTTTTCATACAATGGTAGAATCAGAAATATTGATTTAGCATTGCAGCATGCGAAGCTATATTAGCAGTGTTTATGACCGAGCCAATTTACATAAAATGAGGAATATTTTGTGAACTGCTTCCGGCAGTTGCCATTTACATGTCATTGAGAAAGAACTGATGAAAAAGTTAAATACAGTCTTGGTGGGTTAGAGTTATAAATTTTTTATGATATGTGTATGGTATCTATTTTTATTCTAAGCCCCAGTGTACAGGAACAATTCAGGGTTCTGGAAATGGTTCTGTCCTATATTCTAAAGTACTGGCACTTAATTAACCCCCTTTCTAATTTGGCCTGCCATGGCATCTTGTTAGGCACAATCACTGCAGTTATCTAGAAACTGCGAAAAATTAAGAGAAGACACTTTCTGTTAAAATTTACTACAATAGTGAAATTTTCTGCATCTGTTGAAATTAAGGCTGCTTTTACAATTTTCAAGTGAGTTCTTTTTACAAATAAATGGTGGTCTTCTTCATCCTTTCTAAATTATTGGTTTATTCCTTCTAATTTTTTTGTGTCATTATACTTTAAATGAGTGGTATTTTGATAATAAATGATATATGATATTATTGCACTTTACATTTCTCCATCTTTATGGAAATTTTGAACTGAACATTGTTTTCCTTTAAAGGCACCTACATGTGAATTACATTTCTCTATCTTTTTGGAAAGTTTTGAACTGAACAGTGGTTTCCTCTATGGGCATGTTCTTTTCAATCAAGTTAGGAATGATTTGTTCAAGAGTTTCCCAATTTGGTGCTTTCGAACAGTTCACACTACATTTAATATGTAGTTATTGCATAAAGACTTGAATTTCATTTAACAATGAAAGGGCCGATTACTAGAAGGAAGTTTTCCTTTAACATACAGGATGATGTAGACTACATGTACATTGTATAGCAAAATGTGTGGCAAATCCTTTCATGTTTTTTCTCATATTTACTCCCCGTATGAGTATGCACTGAATATTTTTTTTTCTCCAGGCACATAGTTTATGAGAGCATTTATGGTCAAGTTTGTGCCAACTAAATTGCTAGAGATCTCAAATTATTTATTAACTCAGTTGATTGAGATGTTAACCATGATGTGGTTTCACAACCAAATCAACTCTGCATACTTTACCAATATGCCTTGTAGAGCAGTGAGTTTACATTGACACAGGTAGCCCAAGCTCTCACAATAAGTCTTGTTATGGGCAAAATATAAGAGTTTGTTTGGGACTTAACAGACCCATTCTTAACTGGAAATCATAAAAAAACACCTTGCTCCAGTGGGTGTTCCTTTGCATTGTGTGAGTTTCTAGGGTAGTTTAGCTTTGGTTCGTCTGCTTTGCCCTCCAAAAGTTTTAAAGTTAATATATGGACTTTTTAAAGGAACATCAACAAACAATGTGATCCAAAGGAAAAAAAAGCATCAATGTTAAAAATGTTAGCAAATTTCTTTTGCTCTTGAGTACCTTGAATTTACTGGTAGATCAAATTTATCTCTTTCCTTTTATATTCTTTTTTTCTTTTGTTTTGTTTTGTTTGTTTTTAACATTAAGAATGATCATTTGGAAAAAAAAAATTTTAAAACTGAACTACGCTGATAAAAATGTCAAGCAGTTTTATTATGTTACACTTTTGAATTCATGATTTTTTTCCTTTGTAAAATATTTTTATTTCATTTTTCTAAACATTATTTTGTTGTTTCAGATGAGTTTGTTCACATTCTTCTCAGCGGTATGTGTGGTTCTGCAGATGATTGGTACAATTCTAACAGGAGATGCAGGAGGCTTGCTCAGATCACTTGTCATGTGTGAAAAAGAAATTTCAGGGCCTCGCTGCAAGTGCTGTGAATCTGAAATGGCCTGCTATCAAGGTGTGGGAGTGGTGGAATTTGAGGGGGTGCAGGACTGCAGTGTGATAACAGGACTACTTACTGGGTTGTTATATGGACTTTGTGTTCTAACCATCTTTGGAAGCTTACTGTGCTTCATTGCAACTATCTTGGGATGTACTGCAGTAGCACGTCAAACAAGTCGACATCAGGTGAGAGGAATGATTGTATCAGTTGTTTTAAAATTTATTTCCCAAGGATACAGTAAAGTCTTATGGGTAAGTGTTTCTCACAGGTATCTTCGTAGAATTTGTGGCATGGCAGGTTGTCTTTTGATGATAAATTGACACGTTTTCTGATTTAAGGGGGGCGGGGTAGACGTTCAATAGATGCATGTACTATGATGTAATCTCAGCAACACCCTTGTGGTCCCTTCAGTTTCTACTTTGTTTGTTAAGTGTTTATGGTTCGTTCCCACCTAATCATCAGAAATTCCTCAAAATGCACATGCATGTAGTGAACGATGGGCATAATTTATGTTTTGAAAGTTTTCGTTCGTTTACCTCTGCGTATGCAATGTAATTCTCATCCTCCTCTTCCCCCCCCCCCCCTCCCCTACTCTGTTCTATCCTACCCCTCCGTTTTCCCATCCTCTTCCTTTCCGTTTTCCTTTATTCCAACTCTTGCATGTGGTACATTTAGAGGGTGTTTTGTTGAAAAAATTTAGTTAGAACTAATTTTCCCCCATTCCTCATCGTTTCCCATTCCCGCCCCTCTTCATATTACATTTACATAGATTGCTCATTCAGGGGGTGGTTTCTTTGCAAAACTCTCCTATTTCGTAATGTTTAGTTCTCTACTCTTTTTTCTTTGTTAGGGGCTTTGTGGTCGCCATAGTTCAAGGAGGTCCCATGCCAGTAGGAACCCAGACAGCTACACTTGGGCTCCTTGTTCGACAGACCTTACAATGTTGCCGCCCTACGCGCCACCGGTATATCACTCCGTGGATAATTTTCAAGAATATGGTCTGTCGTCATGCATAGTCCCGCCTCCAGTGTTTGACCCTACTGACTTACCTCCACCTTACTCATCACAGAATCCTTCCTTAGCCGATTCTCAGAACTCTTTGACTTCTCCGGAGTCTTCAAACAACCTACCACAATCTTCTGAAACGGACGTACATTTCCAGCCTATGCACTCGAGGCATCAGGCATTAAATTACGACGAGGAACTCAGGGCCCTGCCTTCAGCCACCCTTAGCATCTCTAGGGAAGGTTGCAACCTCCAAGATAGAGGTGTGCCTTGGAATGGCCACCTCAATGCTATGTCTGACAGTAGTGACCTTCTCACAGCTAGCGCTTCATCCGATTTGTCAAGCAGCTGTAATAGGTGCTCTTCTGAACAACAAACGAATGTTAATGACACTGATATATACAAGACAATTCTTATTGGAGCCACGCCTTTGCTTAATCATCCTGCAAAGTCTAGAATTCAAGCGGAGTTCTCCGAACTAGTTGAAGCTTCCTCAGGCTCAAGGAGGCGAACATCGTCGCTACAGGAGACATCAACCAAAGATAGTGTTCACGCTCGTAATGTACCGGCGGTTTCTACATCTTCTGCCCGAGGGACTCCTATCTTATCCCTGCGCACCCGGAGTAGATCTTTAGGTGAAAACGCTATCTATGTGAATTCATTTGAGGTCATGGCTCGACCTCCGCCCAACATGCGACTGCCAGTTGATGAACAGCTCAAAACTTGTAATACTGCTAAGCCCGTCACCACCAGAAACTCCCATCGACTTACAAAAAAAGGAACTCCGCTCAAAGGTGATCCTTCGAAAGATCACATCAGCAGTCGTAGCGAGCAGAGGAAGGACAAAGTAAAAAAAAGACGACGAAGGCATTCGCATGGCATTTCGAGACACAAGGAAAGATGGAATGTTAACTGTGAATCACTAAACTCGCAAGTGAATCGTGGAAACGACGATTCAGTTACACAAGGCAAAGAAACGGTAGTATGAAGATATGTGTTAGTGGCTTAGGCCTTAATTAGAAGGTAGGTTGGGTTTGGAGATATCAGGAAAAATGACAGGGGTGATCTTGGCAGCTTAACGAGAGGGGAAAGTGTGTGGATTGGAACCAGATATAATAGACTTGTCCCCGGAAAATTACCATACGAAAGACATTAATGGTCATTTAATATCCTTTTTCCCCGATAATAAATATACTTTGGTCCATTATCATTCTAGCAATAGCTCCCCTCCCTTTCCGCTCCCCTCCCCTCCCCTCCCCTCCCCTCCCCTCTCTTGAAACCATGGCTGTTAGAGTATTACAAGCTTAAAACCTCGGCATTGAGACTTTTCAATGGTGTGGGGCACTTTCCGTTGGGTTGTTGTTGAAGCAAAACCAGTGCCAAGAGTAAGTAGTCAGAGTAACGTGAAGGGTGTTACCTACCAAAGGCTTTGAATTTGAATGCGCTCCAAAACGCAAATTAGAGGCAGTTTGATACAGATTGATTTATCACGGATTTTCGATGATCACCCCATCATTTCCCTTCTGGGTTCTCCACTTCCTGAACCTAATCTTAACTGATCTAGCAGTTCTTTACCGAAAAATAAGCAAGAAAAATGAGCATCGAATCACGCCAAGCAAAGATGGTGTGGTTACTCCTAACGAGATCGAGACATGAAGGAACATTTTGAAGTGTAATGTGAATTGGCTTCGGAGGTGTTTGTCCAATGCATTTCGCAGAGGACTAGCTTTCTCAATCACTTCAGTGATAAATAATATATAAGCAAAAGAAAATAGAGGTTAACCAAGACACAGAAACATTGATGTACGACATTTTTGTAATATATTTTGCATGTTATGTATTCTTTTTCCCAGTCTCCAGTGGATACTGAAAATAGAATTGTCAAAGCTCTGATTTTCTTAGGTTACTTAATGTGAAGACTAAAAGGATGCAGAACCAGGCAGAAATCTTATTATGGTTTTTGCGTATTTTCTGAATCCAATATTCCAGAAGGAGAACAACTAGCTTTTTTCAATGTAACTTCCATGATCAAATTCGCCATACTCGCTTATCGCGGCGATAAAATTTCTTCTGAGTTAGTTGGGAGAATTTAGCGGTATATTATGATGATACCCCACAAGGTGATTGAAACTTTAACAGTGTATTGATAATTTGAGGAGGATGTACATTATAATCCGGGTGTCACAGGCTTAAGGGAAAGACATATCATGCTAGGACAGTATATAGCAATTTCCCAGGGAGTAATCCTTTAAATGGCTTGCACAGGAGGGCTCCGCCTTAAAAGAGTACCCTTCTCAGGCTCCAACTGCGCCAAAGAGTACGAAAATTATCATTTAGGCATTCATAAGGGCTTTAGATTTTCTCCAGAAATATCGTGCGTACGCGTCATTTGAAGGGCTCTGAAAAAGTGCTGTTAAGCTTGCTTGTGAAAGAGGTATGATTATGCTAAAGAAGTTATATTTTCAGAGGAATCGGTTTATAAAAAGAGGACGATCCTTGCACCTCGGGGAGGGGGCCTCCCCATGCAGAAATTTAATACCCTACTTTCCCATTCCACTCCCCCCTCCCGGTGCATTTTATTTGCCGAGGGTTTAAGAATCAAAGGCCATTAGGTTAGTTTTTGTCCAGACTGGAGTTACAACAATATTCCTGATACTTCTCAAGAAACATTTTTTTAAATAAAAAAAGAGATAAAGTAAATCTCTAATTTTTGTTATAAAGATGTTGACATTGAAGTGAAAATACGTACTTATGTTTATGTAGATGTGTAGTTCAGATTTAAAATAACATGATCGCAATTTAAGTGCATCTAATGCCATTTATTTTAATGATCAGTGATTCATCTATTTATAGTGACTGTTATTGATATAGTCTGGAAGGACTTTAAAATGATAACGATATGACTTTTGACTTTGTATCAACTAAATAAACTTATTATTCGGAGAGGCAGTTTCACTTTGTTCGATTTTTTACAATAAATTATAGTGTCACATATACGTACCTCGATCTCAAACGTTTTAAACTTCAAAAATTGTACATTTTGTGATGATGACAGGATTTCGTTTGTTGATAAGAAATCGAGTTAATGGCCACGAGCATTTTTAAACTGAATGTCAATAGTAATCCAGGATTTATCTCGTTATGCGTAACTTTGCTCTTTAATTGGCCCTTTCTCAACCAATCAGATGCAAGACCAAAACCAATTAAGACTCAGTCGCTCGCGTTTTCCCGCGCGTTATGCAGTTTGCTCGGTTTTACTTTGAGTTCTCGTTGGCTCTTAGCATAATCTTGCTTAGTCTACAGTCACTTCGTTCTAGGATATTCCAAGTTATGCAAGTTTATTCCTCAACAAAACCGATAGAAATCGTATCAATTCCGTCATATCTCTTGAGCTACAACGGAAAATTAATTTCTCTATCTCGTTCCCTTACTTTTACTGGACCTGCAAATCCATTGGATTTGGTTTCCTAGCCAAACGTTACGGGTCTAATACAGCTAACTTTAGAGACTGAGATCGACAAAAAATGGACGGCTCGCGTTTGAAAAGGTTGGATGGTTGAATCAACATTCCAAGCGGACTCAAGCCCTACGTAGATTGCGTCTACTAATTCTGTGCATTCTAGTCGACAACTAGAATACTAATATCTATTAATGTATTTTCTGGAAAAAGTGGAAATCCAGCCTTAAAATTCTTGAGGACTCGTCCATCGGAATTTTCAGGGAAAATTAAAAAGAGCACTTTTTGTTTTTATCAAAATTCTTACGTTACAGTGATTTATGAAGTGGATTACACAGCCAGCTCGGTCGTTCTTTTCTGAGTGATTTTGAAGCATAAAGTTAATCTTTGAAGATTATTGACTTCGATCGAGTGAATTTTCTAACAAAAAAGGTTGATCTTCTTGCATTTCATTTATTTTGATTTATTAGTCTGGTCTGCACTGCTTATTTTACTTAAAGCCAGCTTTTATTAGATTTATTATTTGTTGAAATTGTTTTATTTTCAGCTCTACAGCTTTTTTATCCTTGACCTCTATGGTAGTTTTATTACGTATCACGCGTGAGGGTATAAACAAGCACCCACTAATGATGAACTGGGGCCTCCACTGAGGAAAGGAAAGGAAATTAAAATACCTTCAGATATCGGATACGCAATAATTTATTGCATCTAGAATAGTATGTACATGATAGCGGACGAAACTGATCTGAAGCACATATTCAATATGACGAGCGAATTTTGACCAAGTCGTCACCCCTTTGCGATAAAAGCAGCAGCGGCCCACTTAAGAGTTTCTGGAAATGTTCTGCCTGTGAATGGTTCCCTTTTCATTGTTTCAGAAACACCCCTTATAGTGTATGACGGTCATGATGTAGTATACGTGCCCTCTTGATATCTCAAATCTTGAGTCATTGACCATACCCCACGCTTTTTAATTGTTGTGGTACCCACTAATCACTCCAAGTGACATTCTTATTATTTTGCGGTAACCATTAACGATCTTAACGCAAATAGAAGTATAGCCAGCTAATAACACAAAATGAAGGCGTGGGTCTCAAGTTCCGAGCACATGAACTGCGGGTATAATCCGCGGCTTTCTTGGCTTTTCTAGATCTGTTTGTACGATTATCCTTAAAAGAAGATTACCATATAACTCAATCAAAGATGTGTAGGCCGCTCCATAACTTAAAGAAAGAAAGCAAGAGACTTAAAAGCGAGCATAGAAGGGGAAAATGAGAGCGGAAAACCGAAAGAAGCGTCCAGGAGGTCGTACCTTTTCTTTCGCTTGGAGTTTCCTTCTGGCGGACACTGGACGAAGTGGGAAACGACTCTTGGAACTGCTCTCAAAGTCTTCAAGAAATAAAAATGAGGAGTCTTTAGGCAAATAAGACAGAGCTATACAGAAAGTTTTGAGAAATAGTTTTCTGATGTGAAACTTTGAAAAATGTGCATAACTTCACTTAACCTCTATGTGCCCGGAATACGCGATAATTGAACCAAAAACCTAAAGATATTGCTTCTATTTAAGATTTTTCTTGGTTACCTTCGAGTATAGCTCGAGTATAGAAGAATGATTGGCTCGTGCCACAACGACGATTGGTACCTTTATATTATGGCGAAAAAAGAACCGAGAATTTAGGAAGAGTTAAACACGACCGATGACTAATGATTTTAAAGAAACTGTCGCAACAAATTTCTTCATTTCCTTTTCAATTTTCCCATCAAATTTTTAACTGGATATATAAGATAGCCGAGAATTTGGGGACGAAATGGATAAACAACAATATAACTAACAACTGAAGTATATTTCCTGAATTAACTGCGGTGATGACTAATCAATATTATCATTTGGGATTCTTTATCTCTAACGTTTTTACGACCTTTCTTTCCTTTCTTTCTTGTAAGGTAAAACTTTCATATTGAGAACTCAAGAAGATTACTGTCACAGCAGAATAACATAGACTGTATACGTTGCGATGATAAGCCACTGGAGTAGGTAGGAACCTTTGAGTGAATATGCAAGAGTCTTTATGGGCTTACTCAACAATGAAAAATCACGCCAGTTGTCGGTAAGGGCAAGGTAACAATGTGGATTAGTAAGTTAAGAGCAACTCAAAGCGAATTCAGCTCGCAAATAAGAGTAAAAAGAACTGATAGGCGACAAATTAAAACTAGACCCGATCACTTACCATGCTGTCGGAAAACGCGCATACATATATATATCCCATTCCACCCACCTGATCGATTCCATGTTAGATAGGTATGATTTTTTGCAGATACAGAAAAAGAAAGGGCGTTTACATCCACACTCTGGCGGTATTATATTAGACCAGTTTATCTCAATGAAAAACTGAAACAAACTCATATCAATTCCGTTTTACCCCCGATACCCAGAGCAAAAATGATGTCACTTTCCAATTCTTTTATCTTCAATTCCTGAGAAAAGATCCTTTATTGGCTCAGTGACTGAACTGAATTCAAGTTCCTTGAGGGCGTAGTTTTACAGGTTTTTACCGCCTTGTTTTTTCTGACATTTTATGAGTAAAATGATAAAAAGACATTGTATGCAAGGCTCTCGTTTGCGGAAAAAGTTGGTTGGTTAACTACTGTTATTATAATTACTACAATTCCGAGCCGACTGAAGCTTTACAATTAAGTATTGTGTCTATTTCTTTTTTTCACGCAAGTTCAAGTCATCAACTGAAAATATTAAGGTATATACGCATTGCCACGAGACAGAGATCCAGCTCTAAAAATCTAGGGAATTTTTTACTCAGAAATTTTCAGGGAAGACCAGTCCAACGACGAACAGAACCAGAGTTGTAGATTATTCTCATGTCAGGCCGGATTGTCGTCGATTTATCGGCTGGGTTCATGAAGTGATTTACACAGCCGTTTGGCTTAGTTGCTCATTTCTAAGCTATGTGACTTGAAATCTACAGTTGATCCTACATCAGCCATGACTGACTTCGTATGCGTGATTTCAAAATATAAAGCCTGATTTTATTTTTTGACTATACCTGACCGTCATGTTATTTTCAGTTAAACTGTTCTTTTGTCAGTCTTTTAACTTCTGGTTCTGCTGTGTGTTCAGTTTGAATTACAGAGCGCGTTCTTTTAGTGGCGGTTTAATAATGACTTGAAGTAATCAGAGGACAGAGCAGAGCAAACTTACCTAGAAGATAATATGTTACGATGCGTTGCAACCAGAATATATATTTATATATACGTGGCAACAGACTAAACTTTAAATCGATTAGCTTCCAGATCATAGGTCGTGTCCTCACCCCGCGCTCTTTTAGGCAAAAGCAGGAACGAATTAATATTTCCACGAAAAAAGGAGATTTTAAACGTTCTAGGAAATGCTCTGCCAAAAAATGGCCTCCGTCTTTTTGTTTCAAAAGCACCTATTTGATATTGCATATACGTGCCCTCTTGTCATCGCTTATCTTGGGTCATTGTCCAAACCCCACGTTTTTTTATTGTTTTGGGATCAGCTAATTAAATGAAGTGACATTCGTACGCTTTTGCGGTATTTATTGAAAGGGCTTAACGCAACTAGTGGTTTGGCGAGCTAATAATTTCATTCTCAAGGCGTGAGAATCACACCTTCCGGTTACACGAAATCCAGCCGATAATATGATCTGTTTTCTTTGCTCGGTGTGTTTGAATGATTTTTGTCCTTATAAGTAGATTAATAACTCGATCAATGATGTGCACGCCGCTCCATAAGCTTGATGGCCTAAGCAAGAAACTGTCGGCGAAAAATGATGATCGTAATGCATAAGAGTTCGTAGTTTTCGTTCTCAAACACTGAGTTCTTCTGAGTTTCATCGCAGCAAACACAGAATAAAACGTAGAGAAGTTGCTCTTACACAGAGAATAAATATCATGATCACGATTCTAAGATTTTCTAGTTGGAAACTGTGCAACTGAAATGAGCGTATAAACAGGTTCCAGAAAAAAACAGAAAAGCGAAAGTGAGTTGCTTCTATGTATATTTGAAATCCTTTTGAGCACACCACGGAGGAATAACTCAGCAATGAACATTACCAGGACTGCTGCTAACGTCTACTAGTAAATGTAGAGATTTGTGGCGAACAAATAATAAGCCTGACTGACATCTTAAGGATCGTTAAATACGACCGATGACTGATGATTTCAAAGACATGCAACCAATTTCTTCGACGTTTTTGATTTTTCTTCCAATAGAAAGAAGGAAAGAACGGCCAAGAATTCAGAGACAGAGAGGATGACTCATTTTACGAGCAACACTGAGCTAAAATTGCTCCTGAGTTACAAGTTCCAAACATGATTAGTCAGTCTTGTCATCTTAGATTCTTTCTCTCCGAATTATTTTCATATATCCTCATTAATCAATAGCAATTTTTATCAACACCTCGTCGTGTCCGTCCTTGGGGGCCTCACTGCCAGATAACATTTTTTTGAAAACTTCCTGGTTGCGATCTCAGGAAGATGGCCATCAAAGAAAAATTGAATAGGCTCAAGTGATGACTAACCGCAGAAGTTCTTTTAGAAACAACAACACGTACAAATCATTATGGAAGTTATAGATTCAATAAGAAATTCTAAAAAACAAAACAATTACGATAAAAACACGAGGGCTTGTAATTGGTAAAGACACAATTACAGCGCGAGAATTAGGGCGATTTATAGCGACTTGAATAAAGCCTGTAAATTAGAGCGAACAGAATAAGAGACTGTCCTCTTTAATTGGTATAAAACGCCCCCACATTTATATTTTCATGCCATCAGTCTCGAGTTTCCGTGTTCGACCACTCTGATTTCATATTAGAAAGGTTACGTTGTGGGATATGTGGGATCAGGAGAAAAAGGGCGTGTTCGCTCGTGCTTAGGCGCGGTTCATGTAGGAGTCCTACAAAATATCGAAGGGGGCGTTTTTTTCTTCACTATCCATCGCTTTATATATCTATATCACTCGCAAGAGGAAGGACTGAAATTCTTGACGTAGCTACGAGAGGATCTTAACTGCGTTTGCCAACCCCCTACTGTTCAGTTCCGTCTGAAAAAATTGCGGACTATCAATAATAGGCAGTGTTTATGCGGTGAATCTCACGCACAGCTCGAGGCGATGATTGAAAAATTTGGGTCATGAAGTATAAAACTGGTGTTTTCAGAGAGCATTTAGAGAGCGGAAGTCTACAAAACCGCGAATGAATCGCTCACGCAGAATTTACATAATCAATAGCACAAGCTCTGAGGTAGCCAAGTGGAAGTAATGAAATATTTGGGCCTATTTATACCCTGAAATCTCTTCGATTAAGTCCAGTCTTGCGACAGAAGTGGACAAGTTTGCAGAATTATTTATTTATAGCCCCAGGCCTGCAGCCAGAGTTAAGAATCCACTTGGCATATTCTAGCACTTTGTTATAGTGAGGCCGCTTTGGCGAGCCGCATTCCTAGTATTTGATTACATATTTGAATGATTGCAAAATCTGACAACCTTTAATGCCTAAAAAAAAAAAACTAATAAAGTCATTCTACCAAATACGTTAAAATGCAAAAATCCGTTAGAAAGAAGATTCATTCACTCTACAGCCGTTCCTTCCTCTCCATGACTTTCATTGCATGGCGTGAACCGTTTCTACTGAAACACGAGATCAAACGTATTTTGTTAGTATTGACATCTAATTTGCTTTAGAGAGTACCTGAAACTGCATAGCAAACAGCACGGAATATTTTCCAACGTAAACAAAGTTCTTTTTTCTCTCCAGAAAAAGACCGATCGTTCACTCAGAGGCGCAAACAGCTTTTTTAGCATAAGAATTGTCTGAGGTTGTACTTCCAAGGAAGAAACATTACATTGGAACAGTTAAGTGCTATATCGTGACCTTTTGATAAACAATTGATGTCAAGTGTTACTCTGCGGATATGTACATTTGTAGAAGTTTATTTTAGATACAGTGATCACGTTTGCTTGAATCTCCAGAACAATCACTTCTAGCATACTTGTGATAAGTCATCCATTAGACTGTGTTCTACATCTTTCCCTCTGATTTCTTAATTTTTATCCATGCCAACTTTCTAATCCTTTCAGAAATCCTAATATTTGAATCAGAATTTCTCGTTTAAGGTTTTACTTCTGAACCTTTTTGGCAATCAGCGAATTTTAAAAGCTCTAGAGATTTAGACAATGCGGCCTTTACGCCAACTGCTGAGGAGACTGACCCCACACTGCTTGCCTCTCAACTGATTCTGAGAGAATGAAGACTGAATTATTTGCTGAGAAAACTCTACATATTTTGTGGCCGAAGAGAAGCTTTTCCGTAAATGCTTTTCCGTAAATACATTTCAAGTAAAACCAGCGCCCTTTCTTCATTTAAATTTGAAATTATTGTTTTTGTTACACGATTGAATAATAGGAAAAGTAAATAATGTATTCTTTTGAGATTGTTACGCATTTCCGGCCTACAAGATTCAGAACGTGACTTGAATATTTGCGAAGTCTCCGATGCACTCAAACGCCTGCGGTTGTGGCTGCTCGTGTTTATTTCCGTTTCGTGATAAGGTCTTGAATGAGTGTCAAAATTGAGAACGTCTTTCAAAAGTACATCGTTCATCAGAGAAGCGAATTCTCGAACTAATAGAAACTTTACTTATTATCAAGCTAATAATGAAAGAATGAAGTTAATTCTAGAGCTCTCCACAGCAGTCATTAGTTTAAAAGCGACCTCCTGAACGTGTAAAGATTTCAAAACTTTCAAAAGGGATTAACGCATTTGATTTCACTGCTTTGTTTACTTTTACGATATTTTTTTGCCGAGAAATTCGCGGAAGCTTTGTAATTTTCACAGCTTTCTTTGAAATTGTATAAATAAGGTTTGTTTCCCAAAATTTGCGTTTGCATTCGTAGCTAACATTAGAGAAATTAATAAAGTGCAGACAAGATCTAGCAAAACACCAGATACTTTCGCGTTCAAAAAAAGACAAAACAAAAAAAACACGAAAAGAAAAGAAAACACACATTCAAGGGTACTCAAAGACCCACCGCATGAACGAACAAGTGCTTCGCTGTCAGTCATAAAACGAAATTATCAGTGAGCAAAGATTGACTCGGCACACAACTTGTTCGCAACAACCCTGGCATCCACAACCCTTCGGACTTTCAAAAACCCTAATTTAAATACTCTTTCATTGGCGTCGGCTTTTGACCTCAACAAAACTTCGTAACGAGCATATGCTTCCATGAACGTAAAATTGTGTTCTTGGATTTTAATATCCGATTAGTCAATGCGACGGATGCGCAATGTTCCTTCACCATTTACCGCATTGTTTCAAGTTGGCATCAGCACTTTTCAATTTGCGTCAGCTCTGAGTAATAATTATCGAAATACTTTCAGGAGTGGCGTTACGTTGTAATGAAGTCTCCATTTTATGGCGAGATAAGGTGAACCATATATACACAATTTAGGAAAACTCTTTAAATTACACCGTCACAGTAGACAGAAAATGCGGCTAGCTTTGAATATTCTTCGGTAGATCAGTCTTAGCTACTTTGCCGAATTCGAAATCTCAGACCGGAATATCGGAACTTTATTTGGGAAGTCGGAAAGTCACATTCAAATATAAACTTAATAATTAAAGAGTTTGCGTTTTTGCTGCTAGTTGTGTTGAAATATATATTCAGGTTTCACACCCTCTTAAGTTAACATTGAAAACATAATATTAGTTTAGGTGTTGGCCATTTTTGATACGGAGCTCTAACGAAAATAACTACGCAGCTTTACCATTCAGGAGTGTTACGTTTGTTTGCAGCCACATAAGTCGTACGGCAGAGTTCAGGGTTCAAATACAATATTCACATGTTGCAAACAAAAAAACCTCGTTAGCTCTCTCAGGTTCCACTGGTACCACAAGTGGCACTCTCTTTCAATCCGGGTTTCACCGGTGATAAAATATGACAAAGATATTTTTTTTTGGTTGGGTGATTTGTTTTTCAAACCCTGTATGATCGATTCTTGTCCGTTGCCGATTCACGGTCAGGTTTTAGTGAACCTCGAATATGTCCTTTGAGATCTTGATAACGTGATTCGAGTTTCACTGAGCTCTTAGGAAACAAGAACAGTTTGAAATAAAACTAATTTACAACAGGCAGTCATTAAAAACATGTTCCATCAATAATTTATCGCCAATAAACGAACGTTTTTAGATTGGCCTTGACATTTCATTAAAAAACATAAACAATGCCTCTGTAAAATGTTTTGAACGGAAATTGCATTTGTGTCAAAAGACGTTTTTCGAAAATACAAATGTCTCATTTCTAGGAGCAATTGTTTCTTAAGTATAATTTCTTTATTGTGGATATTTCCTTTGTTTGAAAAAAAGGAAAGCAAAATTGAACCAGCAGTTTTTCGAAACTGTATACCACTGGTCAGAGTCGAACGATTTTTCAAGAACTATTCGTACACAAAGCAATCGTAGATGACAGAGGGCAGTGATGTTTTTGTTACTATTGTTTTTACAGGGTCAACAACACGAATCGATAAATTAGAAAGTGGCCGTCAGCCAATGAATATCACAACCGGTGTTCCAAACAAGAGAACTGACCAGTCAGTGAAGCCTTTTTGGTTGTATATTTGATTGACAGCCGTAACGTATGTTACATGTCACATAACTTATGCAAGACGAAGCTGATTGGCTTGTTTTAGAGAGGGTCTTTATTAGCTTCTTTTATTGGTTCTGGTAATAGCGGGGAAGACATGTCACATTTCATCTGTCAGCGAGCGAAATCAACATTGAGTCTCCTGTTTCCTACCTCAAATGCTGTTAGGCCAAATGTAGTTGTAATTTTAGAATAGATCTCGCGGGGAAAATGTTCGTCTCTTTGTTTGTTGCATGGTGGATGGCCTGCTTAGCTACGGGAGCTTCAGGTGAGCGTATTTCAATCGCGCAGCGCCTCTGTTACATTTGCATCGCGCTGCGTAATGTTCTTGATTCTAGTACGGAGATGTTCCTAGCTTAACAACCACAACCCAGAGCATCCCCGGGTGGGGATGTGGAGGCTGCACTGAAAAGGAGTACATTTAGAATAAACCCAGCGCAAAAACAACCCCGATGAAGCATGAGATAGCTAGTGGATAAGAGCGATTGTTTTGAGAATAGACCAAGTGAAGCGCGGCAGCTGCTCACACACACAATGGTGGTAGCGAACGAACTACATCATGTTATTACGATGACTCAGTTGTTCGTTTAGCGTACCGAACGTAGCCTGACATTCATTGAATGGGGCTTTATGCTAATGCTCTTTTAGAAACTTTGAAGAACTGTTTTGTTTTGTCTATAGTTTGGCTGTTTACGTTTCTCTTTGCGCAAAATTTTACGCTAATGGCGAACGAACATAGCAAACGCTTCAACCGCAATCTGTTCTGTCCCCGTTTTAAACGGAATAACCAAGGGTGACTGCCGGTGATCTTGGGTTGATAAGTACTGCCAGTTGCCCTAGACTTACCCCTAAAGTGAAGGTCAAATTCGACAATATGTAGTCATTATTCATAGTCGAACAACTGAAGGAATTTTTTCCCTCTGTTGTCGAGTGTTTTTTGAAGGGCTCGTTCATCGTGAACGGAGGAGTATAAACTGTGGTGTGCAAGTGGGAAGGAAGGATTTGATTAAGTTCCCGTGATTTCCTGCCTGCTTTCGTAAACTAAACCATGATTTCCCAAACCTTTTGTAGCGAGTTTCTACACTGTGGATATAGTAGAAAAAAAAAACCATTGACTCGGGACTTGATTAGTCTTACTAACTATGTGTTAAACATAATTTTCAGGCACATTTTCCGGATTGGTTCCTATTTCGTTCACCCGAGAGCCGAGCTACACCGTAGCCCACAAAAATAAGCCAGTTACGCTAAATTGTGGAGTGAATGGGAAGCCTCCTCCGTCCAGTTTCACTTGGGAAAAAGATGGACAGGAAATCATTCCAGATTCAAGGAGGACGATTGACTCAAATGGAGCGTTGCACATTACAAGAGTAATCCATACTCGGGAGAGCAAACCCGATGTTGGGGAATATCAATGCTTTGCTTCAAATGAAAGAGGCAGAATTGCTAGTCGCAAAGTTCGTTTGGATGTTGCTGGTAAGTAATGAACAGAGTACGTGTTTGTAAATCGTTTTGTACGATTCAGTGAACAAATTCATTGACGTGATGTTTGGAAGTTCATGTTTCCAACCGACGCGGCCAAATTACCGTGCTCAATCGCGCAGTTCCATTTTTAATCGCTAAAGATCTATTTCCGAATAAGCTCTCTTCCGGCTGTGGTAAAAATTATTTGGAAACCACAGATCTTTTCATGTTAATCTCTTGGCTGACCTTAAAAAAATGGTTAAAGGGAAAAGGCGGTTAAAAAAAAACTGAGGATTCCAGTTGCTAGCGTACATATCATTCCTCATGCCGATTTCGTGTATTTACATCTTCGCTATAATCACGCGATTGTTGCCCGATTGTGCGTTTTTAGTTTAGTCGTCTTTTACAAAGAACGTCTCAATTATCTCTTCACTCAAAGAGTGTGATTTGTTTTAAAACATGTTTATAATATTTCAGTGACCCCAAAGTTTAACCTTGAGAAGCAACTGAAATCGTTCTGAACGATTGATGGCTATTCGAGTATGAACATTGATCACAGATAAGCTCGGCGATAATGTTTCTCCGCCACTGTCAAACATATTGTTTGCATTATCTTCTTACACCAGCTTATTCTCTCTAAATCTTAACCTTTAGAGTTTTATGCGTAACTTGTTAGAGTAAATATTACGTCTTTGTAAGGATGGACAGAAAGGTTAAGCTGTTGAGTAAAATGCACTTTGCCCCAGCTGAGAACCTTGTGAGCGGATGAGATGAACTAGAATCGCTCGTTTAGATCAAGGCTTAATGCTCTTATATAGTGTTCTTGTCGTTTTTATGTTATCAACGAAATAGTAAATATGCTATCGATCGTGTTAACTATCGCAACAATATGATTGTGGCAACAAGAACGTCGCTTTATTTGCTCCGCTAAATCGTGCGAGAGATCGGCGAGGCACACTTGGATTTCTGTGCTTCCGTCAACTTTAGAAGATAAAAAGTGTTTGAATTTTGTTCCAAAGACAAAAAGCACTTAAAATTATCTTCAAAGACGAGGGTTTATCTTCGTTGTTGCACGCACGTACAAGTACCACGCTGTGAGACTACAGCTCGTCTTTTATTCGTGGCCTCATTATCGTTGTGCTTAGGACACCTTATGACCTTATCAAAATAAGACAGTCGTTGGTGAAATTCCCAATTTGTCGTTTGATTCATGTCTGAAAAAAAAAAACACACACACACACACATGCACTAAGAAAAAAGACACCTTTTGTTCGGTGAAATTTTTATCTTGAAACGTTTAAGAATTTTTAAGCGCTTGTGTTCTTACTGATACAAAACATGGCGGGTCTTTTGTGCTCGTTTGTAAAAACAGCAGTTGTGTATGTGTAGTTGGGATCGGCTCTTTGTTTTGAGGGCCAATGAGAATCAACTATGGCATTTATCGATGATCACGTGCAAAATATTTTTGGTTTTACAAGGAATTTTGTTCAATGTAGGTGTGCTTTGCAACCAACATGATTTGTTTGTGTTTGTAGCTCCCCTCACAACATATTTCAGTGTACTGTCTAAAATTTGAAAATTCCATTTAGGAAGGAATTCTACTTTAGGAAATTTCTCGACTATTATGATATATTTTTTTTCAATTAATGACCTCACAGAAAAACATGGAAAATTTGATATCCAGACACCACTTAATTGAAATATTGGTTGATGCAATGTAAACACGGACAAACCACAGTAATTTTGTAGGTTTTTAAACGAAGGTAAAATTACAATATGACATCATACATTATTCTGAGTTTTAAATTTCACCAAACAGCAAATTTTTGTCCTTTTGGCAAAATTGTGTTTGTTACATTAAAGCTGTTTGCTTTATAAAATACTGAATATGGGTATTTAACAATTTGGAGCTGGCATATGTGTGGTATGTTTCAAAAATCAAAAAAACACAATATAGTAGGAATATAACTTAAGGTAAAAACTGACTTTTTCTCAACAAAATTCAATTGACATTTTTTGTTATGCTATTGTAAAAACACATTGGCTAGTTGTGTACTAAATTGGTGGTTTTATGGAAAACGTATAAGATTTTATATCCATTATTCTGATGATTTACTCTGTGTAGTAGGTATAGTATTAAACAGAAAGATTCCATGGGCCATGAGGATAAAATGACTCTGGAAAGGGCACAAACAATTATATTAACGCCCAAGAACAAAAACTTTATTACTGTTCTTATGCCCACGGAGGACATTGAAAATTAACAACTGGAAAAATGACCACAAAACAGTCTAAACAATCAAGCAAGGATGCAAGTAGACTTAAAAAAGGTTTTAGCAGTGGGTTCAATTCATTTTAACCTGCCAAAATCTCCACTTTAACCTGCAAAATGGGTCACAATGCCAAGAGATAATCATAGATCACAGATGATATTAAAATGAGATGGGAACAAAAACAGGCACGTGAGGCACAGCAGAATGTGTCACTGATGTTCTTACGACATTTTTACGTTTTTTTTTACTCATTACTAGACAGATGCATGGCAACATAGAGTCTAGTCATAGTATTTGTTTTACATAACAAAAGAGCGGAACATTGTTAATGGTTATGCTGAGCAGCTGTCATCCAATAGATCGTAGTGAGAATCAAGAAGAACAATCAATTTAGCTTATAATTTACTAAACATGCTGGATGTGGTTTATTTTCTGAAACAAATCATTCACATATGATCATTAGTTCCTAAGAATAGTCAGATGATGCGTGTAACAAATCACATTGAATTGCACAAGTATATATACTTTATATTCTGATTGTTCTTACTCACGCAATACATGCAAACATTGAAGCTTAAAAGAAGAAATTCCTTTTAATAGTTATAAATCAGTTGGCTCAATGTGTCAGCTGTGTCTTCATCCATTAATGAAGCGCTGTGTCACAGGCGAGTCCTAAGCATCTTTTGTTCTCTAAACTTTTCCTGTGTTGAATGCATATGTGTACTTTGAGATATTATGGTGAGTGAAACTAGCTTCAATATGAAGAAGCTGCAAAATATTTTGTTCTTATTGATGGAGGGGAAGGTTTGTACATGGCGTCAACATGTCCAGTCAGGAACACATCTGCTTTTATTATGATTTAAAATCTAACTGAGGCTTTAAGTGGCCTGATTTATTGCACTGGTAAACCAATAGTTTTTCACTTTCTATTGGTTTCCTGGTGCATTAAACCACTTGGGATGTAGGGAAAACACTAGAAAAGTTTGTAAATCACTTGCCTCCCGCTTGTGATTTACACACTTTTCTCATGTTCATTTAATATATCCTACATCCGTTATTACGCTGGTAAACTGATAGAAAGTGCAGTCTGTTACTTGATTTGATTACGATTGCGTGAGAAGGGAAACGTAGAATCTCTCTTCAGCTGTCCTCTATCATTTTTGAAAAACAAGTTTGAATAGAGGGATGGAAGCACTAACCAAAAGGTCACTAACTGTCATTTTTCATCAAATTTATGGTTACATTTTCTCTACTTTAAGTGAATAACTTGTAACCTTTGCCAGGCTATTTTTAACAATTGAACTTCAGTCATATCAAGTTAATCGCTTTAGCTCACCATTTCCTTAAAAAAATGATTTAAAATTCAATTATGCTTGAGTTTTTTAAAAAGGGTATTTTTGTAAAAAAGTTGTTTAAAGCTATCAAGGTGTCATAATCTATGTAAGACTCCTCAGCGACATTGTGCAGTGAAGGACTTCATCCTGTTTAAACTTATTAGCACTCTTGCTTAGCACTTAAGATGAGTGATATGGTTTTTGAAAGGGAACAGGCCAATTTCTTATCATAAAAAACTAAAAGAAATGAATTGAGGGAAAGTCAGGACCCAAAGAGTGTTAAACTTGTGAATTTACAGATCAAAGAAGAAAAAGTCTTTCTGAGAGTTGGTTTTTTATGTGTCTTAATACAACTGAAATAATCCCCCTCTTCAATTGAATTTGTATTAGCTATTTGGAATTGATTGAATATTGTGAAATTTGCCCTTATTGTTAACTGCACAGTGAAGAACAAAGTGCAGTTGGCATTTTTTTCAGTCTAGTATTTCCTTTCTGGCTGCCTAAAAATGCAACATGTTGGTAAATAATGATTTTTGATACTGGAACTGACAGATTAAGTATTAAGGGAAAACTAGTTGGAATATAGGGATATGATCACATCCTTTAAAAGAATGATGTTTTGTTATTCATACTGACCAGTTACATTTCAGTAAAGACTACGTTTGAAATCTGATTAATTTGTGTGAATGGTGTTCAGTCATTTCACCAGAGAGGGGCTTCATTCCCCTCATCAGTCGAATAACTAAAATTGCTCATAATTTTTTTTTTTGTTCTACATCCAATAACCTCTTTATTGATATAAAAATAGTGTTGGTTTCCTAAATATAGCGTGTCTATGAATTCAGAATGGCAAGTTACCTTGAAAAACACAACTCCTTAGATCTGACATCCTAATATTTTTGTTTAAACTTCCTCTACAGTTGTTTATTGCAATCAATATTATTATTGATTTTTAATTTTGTTTTTCTTCTTGATTTGTGTGTTCAAAGGTATGTCTAAGAAGTTTCAATGGGAACCGCAAAACACAGTAACATTGGTAGGATCCTTTGCAAGATTTTCCTGTCAAATCCGACATGCTTCTCCTGCAGCTACTTTAAGGTGGGAAAAAGATGGCACCCGTTTAGAAGCCAATGACAGAATTTTCATGCTGATAGAAGGAGTACTACAAATAAAAGATGTCCGAAAAACAGATGAAGGAAACTACAGCTGTGTGGCAGAAAATGTGGTCAAAATGCGCCGCAGCAATCCTGGAAGTCTTACAGTCCTAGCTGCTGGTAATTGTAGTACTTCTGATGTTTGATTTTACCAATGTTAGGGTTCATTGAAACCTTTTTTTACCCAGCTTCATACTGGCTTTGTGATTTTGATATGTACCAAATTGATATTTTTCAAGGGATATGAATTGGTCAGTATTTATTTTAGGATCATTCCTTGTTATAAAGGGAATAATCCTTATTCAGATGAAATCACTGTCATATGATCTTGTGGATGTGTCTGAAAGTATACTTTGACCAGCTAACCTGTGGGGATCTTTATGAGAGAGCAACAGAATAAAATTATGATTTCATCGAATGAATACTTAAGTTGAAAGACCAAACTTTACTACTTAAGGCTAAAATAATACTCTCTAATCTGATTATAGCTTGCTATTTGTAAGTTCTGCTCTCTTGCATAGCTCTATAATTCCTAATTTCAATTGAACCCCTGTAAGTTATCAAGTGACTCCTGCAGTTATGAAGCTGATTTCACATCATTGACATTTTTAAGATAGTTGGGCACAAATTTGTTTAGAGAGCAGAGCTTACTTCTACTCAAAGTGAACATTTTTGTTAAGTTATTGACAGTACCTGCTCCTGATTGAGGTAGTGAAGTTATCATGTGACTTCCAGCTGACTAACAGTTTCAGCACTGTAAACATTGTTATATATAGCAATTAATGACAATGTATTCTGTATGGAATGATGTGAGAACAAGCATCAAACTGTTGATGAGCTGATTCCCATAAAAATCCTATATTTCTACTCTAGCCTCCTATTTTTCTATACTTTTGTTAAAATTACTGGGATGTATGTAATCAATAGTGGCATATAATATTTAAAAAGAGTTGAAAATGTATTAATTGACACAAACAGACATTGAGTTACATAAACAAACACTGTGTGTACCTGAGTTGAAAGTGGAACTATAGTGTGATACTTGTCATAATTGAACATATTATTGCTTGTTAGATTCATCAAGAAATAGGACAAGCCCACAATTTCTTGGAGAACATCAAAACATAACCATTGTGAAGGGAGGTTCAGCTGTAATTGAATGTGCTGCATCTGGATATCCCGTTCCAATGGTGCAGTGGAGGAAATTGGATGAACATTCTGGGAAAACTTACAATGTTTCTAATATCACTTATGCTGTTAACAATCTCAATTTTTCCAATGTTGAAAAAAATGATGGAGGCCAATATGAGTGTTATGCACATGCAGATGGAAAAACCATTTCCAGAATTGTTTGGCTGTTTGTCACAGGTATTGTTACATTGTTGTAATTTGTCTTGTTCAATTAGATGCCTGTTGAAATGATTTTGTAAGAATATTAATTTTTTGATACAAAAACATAAACAAGGGTTTGGGGGCCATAGGCATCTATGGCTCCAAAACTTAAATATTTTTGGAGATGGTGCCACTTTCTTTATTTTTGGCAAGCATGAGGGAATGCCAGCGGCCTCAATTATAAGTACTATTGAAGGAATGCTAGGATATTATCCTAGCATTCCTAACCTTCTGAGCTGTGTTATGAATGTAATGTGAAGCAAAAAATGGGTTGGTAGAAGCAGCAAACATGTGACATTGGCCAGATTTCTCAGGGAAAAAGATGACAAATGAGTAGCACTTCCCTTGACATATTATTGCACCATTGACAACTGCAGAGATAATCTCTGTGTGAGGAGATACTTACAGTTGAGGCCACTTGTGTCCCCTTATGCATACCCAATTTTCCTGCAAAATTAATAGCCTCTATCAAGGGAGTTGTAGTAAAATCATTGTTTGCTATAATTTTTAGTTTTGAGTTAAAGAATTTGTGTCACCAAAAGACATTGACCTAACAGACAGCTTTTCAACAATTGAAATTATCATACCTGTTATTAGTGCCACCTCAATTTACGTTAACACCTCCCCGTTTGGTGTGGATGATTGATAAACCCTTGGAGTTGAAATGTGCAGCAAGTGGAGAACCAGTTCCTTCAGTATACTGGCTTAAAAATGGGAAAGAGCTGAATTCCAGTGATATCACAAAAGTTACTTATGGCAAGGGAAGAGCAGACTTGACAGAATCCAGTTCATCAGCCAGTAATGCATTGTACCAGTGCTTTGCACAAAATGAAGCAGGAAGTACCCAGGTTGTAGCTTGTCTGATAGTTCAAAAGAAAGGTAATGTACTGTTAGTTAAAAGAAAATTTGAAATTATATTCCATTACCTGAGTTCCATAATCCACTAGCACTTCATGAAACTAGTTTTGACAATTTACTGAGAACCAATGATTTGATTTACCTGGGCAAGAGTTCAGTGGGTGTCCTTCTTTTTGGTAGAAGAGTTCTACCGTAGGCAAGTCCCTCTTTTTACTGATGTGAACTTCAAAGTTTGAATTTTGTTAGAGGAGCAATAAGTTGCTCTATCCACACATGGCTTATGGCCTTTTTTTCTATAATTTATAGATGATCGACCTGGCCCACCAGTGAATATTGTGGCTCTGCCATTATCATCATCCTCCATTGTTATAAACTGGAGTCCCCCTATTGGTAACCATATTATTGGTGCATACACTGTGCATTACAAACAGTTAGGAAAACCAGGTGCACCTAAAACCAAAGTTATCAGTAAAGATACACACAGCTATGAAGTGCAAGGACTGTTGGGATACACAAATTACAGTTTTTATATGAAGGCGTATGCCAAAGCTTTTGGGTATGAATCAGAACCAATTGTGCAGGGGACACTTGAAGACCGTAAGTTATTACATACATTAATTATTTTTTTTTATTGGTTATTGCATTGAAGACAAGTGTTTATTTATTGTACAGTAGAGTAAAAAATTTAACTGAGTCCACCAATGGTTAAAAGTATTTTTCGGCATCTAACCTTTACATTTCTATGTGCTCAATTACACAAGTATGCAAATTTGTACCCCTCATGTTCAAACAGAATGTGGTTTACAAGCCAGCTTAATTGTAATCAGAAAAAATACAAGAAAACATGGAAAAACGTATTGGCTGTTTTCAAACTGGAATTCTCTGTGTATCATCATGTTGAATCATATGATGTATTCCAGTTGCCACTATTATCTACATGAAAACTGTAGGAATTGTGTGACCAAAAGAGCTATTTTCTGATGGTAATAGTGGCAACCATACAATGTCATACAAGTCTAAATGGGGTCTTCTGGGAAATTTGTGCATTGATATTGCTTGTTTATTTGTATACAGTTTTTATACATTGGAGGCATCATCTAACATTTCTTTTTCCTGTCTCATTTAGGACCAGCCAAAGCACCAGTTGATATAAAAGTCTCCAGTCAAACACCAGATGTAAGATTTATATATAACATTTACAACATTTCACCACCAGTTTTATAATTATTATTTTTTTACTCAAACTGCATGATCTAAGTAAGATTGATCTTGCTAAACCTGAAATTATGTGTCCAAAGGAAAGGCATTCATTGTGTTTGTCTCTTTTAGAGTCTTGATGTGGAGTGGGCACCACCACCTAGAGACTATCGCAATGGCATCATAAAAAACTATGTGATTTCCTACAAGAAAGAGTATGACAAGGGAGAACCAAGCTCTGTGGAAGTTCCGGGGCATACTCTTAAAAAGACAATTAATGGTTTGTCTAAAGGAACATCTTACACGATCAGAGTGGCTGCTGCTACAGTGAAAGGTGAAGGGCCTTTTAGCAGAGCTGTGAAAGGAAGAGTTCTCAATCAGACATCTAATGGTAAGTAGTGCCAGCAAGAATTAATGATTAGAAGATACTGTGCATAATTGTTCTTTGTACCCTAACATTAGGGTGCATATTCTCTATACTGCTCTCTATACATTTCCATAGGTGCTGACAAGGAGAATTTTTTTAATAATCACAAGCCTCTTGAGTTGGTCATCATTTCCCTTATTTTGGTGGCCTTAATGTGTGATTCAGGGGAGGTATTGTGAGGAGAAACTTGTTGTTAAAAACTCTTATGCATCAAAGGATTAAACTAGATAACTAGATACTGGTCTCTATCTAAATCAAAAGGCTTGGCAACTTAGAGTACACAGCAATAAAATGACAAACATTTAAATTGCACTAGTGTAACTTGGTTTGGATTTTTTTCTCCAAACAGTGATCAGCCCACCAACTGTATGGATTGCATACCATAACTCAACCACAGCAATCGTGAAATGGCTTCCCCCTGCCTATGGCAAACACTCAGTAGAAGAGTATCATTTATTTTATGTCCAGATGCAAGATCACAGCATGGAAAAAGGACCATTCATTGTTGACAAACGGCAGAAAACTTACACTCTGCATGGATTAAGTAAGTTAGAGAAATGATGACAACACAAACAAAAACGAAATGTTATTTTATTGCCACTGAATAAACTGAAACAGAAAGGAGTTCCACCAAGAGGTAGAAATCTCATCAAGGCAGAATCTGTAACTAACATTCTTGATATATGGTATCCACTGTTCTCATGTAAAACAATTGCAAAACTAACTGCAAACAGTGGGGTCAATTTTTGCTATTCAAAACTGAGGAAGTAGTGAAATTTTTCAAAGACATTTTGCATGGTTAAGAGGATTTTAACAAGAATATGTGCAATTTTATTTTTTAACTCACTATTATGTCCCATCACGTATGAGATGAGATGTCTGATGGCTGAAGACTTTTTTCATACATTTTTCAGGCCAAACAAATTATATTGTTTTGAATAAAATTGCAATTAGATAAATTGTTCATAGCAGTTTAAAAAAAATATTGGTTGGTAGGGTAGTACAGAAGTTTTCCAACTTGCACATGTACTTCAGTAGTGATGTTTCAAATCTTTTGTCCAGAAAATTTAAAAGTTTGTATTCCTTTGTTTTCCCACACACATGGCTGTTACCCTGATGATTAATCTTCTCTTTTGTGCAGGTTCTGGAAGCCGATATTTAATTAAGTTGATGGCCTCTGATGGTAGTACTTTAGGTCCTCCAGGAGCAACTTATGTCACCACTGACAGGGGTAGGTGATAAAATTTGTTTTATATGTAAACTAGATGTTTAAGGAGTGGGGCTGTTACAACACAGAGGTCAAACGACTGTGCTTGTGGAAGTGTTGGTGTAGTGTGGTTTAGCCATATGGGAACAGTAGATGAGTTTGGTGCCCTGGTATGTACTGTAAACAGGTACATGTGCTGTTTATTTGCCCAGGCATTAAACATTTTTTACCATTTTCAATAGGTCCAGGAACTCCAGATCCTACAGAAGATCCACTACCCCCTCTTAGACCCATTCATTTGGTTTGTACAGTTGACAGTCCAACTTCAATCCTGCTTACGTGGCAAACACCTTTGTCTTCAGGAAGCACAACACATTACACAGTGACATATTTCTTGCGAAGCAGGATAAAACATGTCCCTGTGAAGAGAACAGTTTATTCTGAGAATATTGTCTTGCGCGGACTTACTCCTGGAAGAGAGTACACAATCTCTGTTCAGTCTCACTATAAATCTGAGAAAGAGATCTTCCCTGGTGTTAGCACTGCATTCAAGAACTGTAAACTTCCATTAAGTGGTATGAAAAATTGTTTTATCACCAAATGATATAGTTTTTCCTTGCCAAAAAAAACCAGTAGTTGAGGACAGAATTTTGTTTTCTGAGCTTTTGCACTTTTGTTTTATTTCAGAACTAAGCTCACCTCCACAAAATATCAAATATGAATACAAGACTGTTAGAACTGTGGAACTGGAATGGGAGTCTCCCCTTAAACCTAATGGACAGCTCATCAGCTTTGAAGTTCTTTACACTTACAACAAGTCCTATCCAGATTCCATGTGGAAAAATGAATCCTACCCATTGGGGTTTTTTGGCAGTAGGGTTAAACAGTTCCATCAACGTTTATCAGGCATCAAGGAAGGGACAGAATTCTACCTCAAGATTCGTGCTGAGAACAATCACGGATTTGGACCTTTTTCTAAAACAATAACAATCAAGCCGCCCTCTGTAGCAGAAAGGGTTGGTCCAAATGTTGAATACACCATTCTGCCATCCGGTCAGGTACAGCTGTCATGGAAGTGTCCTAGAGTGTTCAATGCTTTCATTGAGAGCTTCACCATTCTTTTTTCAAACGACACACACCTAGCAGATGACAAATGGGAAGTACAGACTGTTAGTATACCACATTCTAGAAGATTTCCAGATAAAGTGACGACGTATGTGAAGAAAATTTTCATCTATTTTAAAGTTCGTGCAGAGTATAATGATCACATTCCTGGAAATTGGTCCAAAATAGTGAAAATTACCAAAGGTAAGCTTAATATCAACAGTAAAATTTCTCATCATACCATGCAACTGCTCTCTGTTAATGATCTTCAAAAGATAAAAGTTGTGGCTGTTAGAAATACTGATAGAATTTTTTTTTGCAATATTGAAAACCATGAGGCATTGTTTGTTCTCCTTTCCATGCACTGAAAAATGAGTTGAAAACCCATGGAGGTGTTTAAACACCTGTAGAGTAGAGTGAATCTTCTCAACTGAAACTACTGTAAAACTATGGAGTAGTTGTAGGAGAAGATCCTAAAAGGACCAGATCAAAAAGGCTGTTAGCCAGGGAAATGTGTGTGTTGTATTATTAGAAGATAATGGTTTCTCTAATGTTGTCTCTCACCTCCCAGGATTTAAAATGAAACCAGCTTACAGTTAGAGGGACCAAGTGAAATGAAGGAGCAGGGTGTGAGG